TCTCCAGAGACATAATGTATTACCTTATTTTTATATGTAACATTTAAGGTACAGGTTTCTTTTTTTCTCCAGAGACATAATGTATTACCTTATTTTTATATGTAACATTTAAGTTACAGGTTTCTTTTTTTTCTCCAGAGACATAATGTATTACCTTATTTTTATATGTAACATTTAAGTTACAGGTTTCTTTTCTTTCTCCAGAGACATAATGTATTACCTCATTTTTATATGTAACATTTAAGTTACAGGTTTCTTTTTTTTCTCCAGAGACATAATGTAATAATGTATTACCTTATTTTTATATGTAGCATTTAAGTTACAGGTTTCTTTTTTTTTCTCCAGGGACATAATGTATTACCTTATTTTTATATGTAACATTTAAGTTACAGGTTTATTTTTTTTCTCCAGAGACATAATGTATTACTTTATGTTAACGTATTAGACTGTTTTTATTCACAGATGTAACATTTTAACTATAAGTTACTATTTCCTTTTGTAACTAATGTAACATATAAGCATATTTGACACGTAACTAACGTATTAGTTATATATCAACCGTAGATTTCGTTAAATTGTTTTAGGATTTGACTCTTTTTTTTTTTCAGAAATTAATGTATTGCTTTTCTCAGCTATGTAGATTCGTTTTTTTCTTCCTTTCAGTTATGTGTCACACTACCTTGTTTTTAGCTATAGTTTTTGCTTTGTTTTTCAGAAATGTAACGTTTCTTTGTATGTTTAATTTCGCGCTAAACTATTCGACAGTTGTCTGCGATAGCCGTCCCTAATCTAAAAGCAATAGATTAGAAGGAAGGCAGCTAGTTAACACCACCCACCGCCAGTTCTTGGTCTGATATTTACCGACAAAAAGGGGGATTAACCTTCACATTATATCCCCCCCACGGCTGAAAGGACGAGCATTCTCGAGGACGGGATTCGAACCTGTGACCCGCAGATTGCGAGTCGAGTGCTCTCTAACCCTCTGACCATGTCAAGTGTTGTCCTCGTTATTTATTGGTTTCAAAAATGTACTATATTGTTAGGAATGACTGGCGCAGATAGTCCTCGTGTAGCTTTGCTCGAAATTCAACAAACAAAGAAACAGAGACGTAACGTATTAATTAGTTTTAGATCAAGGATCTTTTTTTTTTTAGAAAATATGGAACGTATATTAGCAATCTTTCGGCTGTACTTTCGTTGTTTTGTGTTTTTGTTTTTTTTTCAGAACAATAACTTGTTAGTTTTAAAATTATAGGATTCATCATCTTTCTTCAGAGATGTAATATATTAGCTTTTAACAGTCAAAGATGTAATGTTTGTGATGTATGTTTCTTTGTTTGATATTGTTTTCTGTGTACCGTTGTTAAATACTTTCCAGTTAAAGTTTTTTTTTGTTTCAGAATTGTAATGATTAGTTAGTTTTTGGACATAGGTTCCATTTTTACTTCAGATAAGCAATGCTTTAACTATAAATTTCATTTCATTTTCTTATTAATGTACCGTGTTTGATTGTTTCAGGTAGAGAAACAGCGTTTTTTTTTCACTTATACAACGTAATGTATAATTTCAGCAGTATATTGTTTTAAATATTTTATAGTAATGGCTTGTTTTTAGCTGTTTATTTGGTTTAGAGGCGTTAATTTTTAGTTAGAGGTTTCGTTTTGGTTTAGGTGTTAACTTATCGGATTTTTATTTTTTTCAGCTATATCTTTCCTGAGATTATGGAGAAAAACCTTATCTTTTTGAAAGAAAGTGAGAATCCTGAAATGTTTGACGAGTATCCTGAGATGTGGTTCAACAGTACAGGAATTTCCCTTCATCAGAATGTCAGTGATGAAAATGTGACTGAAGGCAAGAACACAGGAGCGTCATTAGAAACCAGGATTTTAGGATCCATCATTTGCGCTATGATTATCGCCTTGACACTCTTGGGAAACGTGTTGGTGATTTTGGTAGTCTTTAGGTTTAGGAGACTTCGTTCAGTCACAAACTTGCTTTTGGCTAGTCTTGCAACAGCAGATATTACGGTGGCGCTGCTGGTCATGCCTTTGCTGGTAATTTACGACTTTGAAAGAAGATGGCGGTTCGGACCTATAGCCTGCCATTTCTGGATCTCATGTGATGTCATGTGCTGCACTGCTTCCATTCTCCATCTATTTATCATAGCCCTCGATCGGTTCTGGGCTATCACCAAACCTCTGAGGTATCGCTCGAGGGTGTCCAAAAAACGTGTCATGGTGGCCATCGGGGTCATCTGGCTATGCAGTGGCGCCATTTCGTTCATTCCAATCTTCATGGGCTGGTACAGTGATGACCCAGTTTCCATTTTTGTCAACAGTGATGAATGTTCTCTGGAAGTTAACCGGGTATATGCCGTCGTTTCCTCCGTGACGTCATTCTATCTTCCGCTTCCGGTAATGTTTTATGTTTATTTCCGTATTCTTTTAATCGCTGAGCGGCAGGCTAGAGAAATTAGACAATTAGAGGTGTCATTAGAAGGAGCCGATCAACATGTAAAACAAAGTCTTCGATGTCGGTCTCGACAACTAATCACTGATACAAAAGCTATACGAACTTTAGGTATAGTGATGGGCGTTTTCTGTGTTTGTTGGCTTCCTTTCTTTCTCATGTATGTCATCCTTGCTTTTTGTAAACATTGTCATCTGGAGTACGAATGGCGCAGCGCCATCACGTGGCTCGGATACTTCAATTCTTCCTTCAATCCCTGTATTTATGCTTTTTTGAACAAGGAATTTAAATCAGCATTCCGACGGGTATTAGGATGGAGAAACAGAGAGGATTCTGAAGTGACATTTCTTGACGTTATTAGTTCTACAAATCGCGGTGCTCAGCGCCCCCATTCGAACACCATGAATATCACTGACGGTCAGAAGAGACCAGCTGACTTGTTCACAGACGAAACCCATCTAAGGGATTCCCACATGATTCTGGAGATAACAAGCACCGGTTCACAAACGCCATATCTTCGTAAAGACTGGAGATTCGCAACTGAAGCAGATCATTTCAAAGACAATCTCTCAGTTCCACGTGTTAAGCAATCAGATTTATGCAAGATCTCCAGCTCAGCAGAAAACGGATGACGCAGGTTAAACATGTTATATGAAACGGGATCATAAAACAGACGCTTAAAGAGGAACCGTCTAAAAACAAAGTTGAAGAAGCTTTGAAAATAGATAAGTCGCTCGGAATTGAAATATCAAAAACACAGCGTTGTTTTAAAAGATGAAAGAATTAACATAAATAACAAAGCTTATATTATTTCAATAATTCTTTGTATCTTTTAGGAACAATGCTTTAAAAATAAACGTATTACTGCTCCAAGTAATCATTGTTACATTATTACATTTCTGTAGCGCTTATTGGAGTAAAAACACATCTTAATTCGAGAAATATACGACCTTGTAACACCAAATTTAGTTGTTTTTTACTTAATTGAACACTCAAGGTTTTGCTTGACAGCTTCTTAGTCTTAAGCTTAAGTCTGAAGTATGGCCAGGTGGTTAGGGCGCTCGACTCGCAATTTGCGGGTCGCGGGTTCGAATCCCCGTCCCACCAAACATGCTCACCCTTTCAGCCGTGGGGGCGTTATAATGTGACGGTCAAAGAATAAAAGAGTAGCCCAAGTGTTGGCGGTGGGTGGTGATGACTAGTTGCTTTCCCTCTAGTCTTACACTGCTAACTTAAGGACGGCTAGCGCAGATAGCCCTCGTCTAGCTTTGCGCGAAATTCAAAACAAACAAAGCTTTAGTGGAACGCCCCTGAAGACTTCGTAAAGCGAAACACTGAGTGTCCAATCAAACAAAAGAAATGTTATAAGGTCGTTTGTTCCTAGAATTAAAATGAGTGCTAAGTATATAGTTGGTACTGAAATTAAATGCAAATTGTCTGTTCAATTTTTCCACTTTTTAATTACTTAATCCTCAAGTTGTCAAGAAGAAACATATTGTCGCTTTACAGGGAATCTATCCAGTACTCAGTTAAAGAACAGTAAGTGTCGGAGACACAGCAAAGAGCTAACTGACAAAACTGATTTAAAATAAGTCTCCCGGTACTGACAACATGTTCAAGCCAATTACAGCTTGTTTAGCAGGCGTAAGTTCACTGAATGAGAGCTTGTGATAGACGTGCTATTCTATCTAATAAGTCGAAACGCAGTAGAGCGTGACAGACATTCAACAAAAGCTAACAACAACAATAGTTTTGTAGCTAACAATAAAAGTCTGTGTGCCGGACTGTGAATCCGTGGGGCCGTGGGCGCATTCTGAGTGACTGTCAAGACTCGTTATTCGATGACAGTAACCCAAGAGTAGGCGGTGGTTGTTGTTGACTAGCTGTTTTCTCTTAAATCTATCAGCTCAAGATTAGAAACGACTGGAGCAGATAGCTCTCGTGTATAGCTTGAAGCAAATATCCGAAACGATAGAAGTTATTTTAGTGTTAGCGACAACAGAGGTGGTTTAATTAACCCGAAGAAAAACGTTCCAAAATTAGCGAAAACTGTTTTAGTAGCTAGAAATAAAAGGTTGGAAAAACAAAGGGATCGCAGAATCTTCCAAATTCAGTTTCAGTTGATGTTGTTTGATTAGTGTGGTCACTTAAACTCGTAGAAACAATTTGTCCGTAGATTGGTTGTTTGTTTTTGAATTTCGCGCAAAACTACACGAGGGCTATCTGCGCTAGCCGTCTCTAATTTAGCAGTGTAAGACTAGAGGGAAGGCAGCTAGTAATCACCACCCACCGCCAACTCTTGGACTACTTTTTTATCAACGAATAGTGGGATTCACCGTCACATTGTAACGACCCCACGGCTGAAAAGGCAAGCATGTTTGGTGTTACGGGGATTTGAATCCGCGATCCTCAGATGGGGAGTCGAGCGCCCTAACCACCTGGCTATATCGGGCACGTCCGCAGATAGAAAACAGTTACTACTGATGTATCACACTTCAAACACGTTGGTAGATACTTGAATTATTGTTTTGTATACGATCCCCTAGGTAGCGCTTAGTACTCTCCAAATACGTTAATTCGAATTTAACACATTTATATTGATTTACCTCAAGCGGTGTTTGTAACACTCGATCTTTAATATTAAATACTGTTACGTCTCCAGTCGCTAGTTAACTTTCTGTAACTTCGTTCCGACGAAACTTTAGCGACACAAGTCCTTTCTTAATAAAACTGGTTTATTCTT